ACGCAGGCCCTTCCTTCTGTTACTCCCTCCTTGGGATTTCCGCAAACGGCCACCATCCATCACACCAGCACCAGGATTTGAGATATTCCTCCGACTGTAACTTAACATTTTCTGTGTAAGAGTATCGCCCCATCTCGTCCGCACACCGAACCGCCGACTCGACTCGTGCTGCAGATCTAGCATCACACATCGCAGGGTGCAAAACTACAGTACAGTTAGTCGGTGGATGGATGTGATGTGAAGAGATGTGATATCTCCCCCCAAAGATACATACATACATCCAGCGAGCGAGCGCCTACATACATGCGTGCGTGTGTGGCGTAGGTACATCCCTCACGTGTACCATCATCACATCACAGCACAGCAGTACGGTACAGCACGCACGGCCCGGCACGAAAGAAACGAACAGGACAGCACAGCAGGCGGTGCAAAATACCTATCCGCCGTACGTAGTTGCGGTCAATTCACCGACTTTTTGCCCCATCCGCGCCACTGTGGCCACGCCGGGGGGGGGGGTGCTATTCTTGTGCTGTTGCCTGGTATAGTGGTATAGAATGAAGTTGTATAGTTACTGTAGTGCGGGTATCTGGGCTGGGATGGGGGGATGTCATCGATAGACAACACAACCTGACTGAACTGACAGATGCAGGACGGTGAGCGAGAGGGTTGCGAGAGGCCCGAGCAGCTGGCGGTGGAGATGTCTGGTGTGTGTGGTGTGGTCCTGGTGGTGTGTGGTCGGGGCCCAGCCCATCCATCCACCCCCATCCAGAGCGCGCCCAGCCGGACAGGGCGTCGGGGATTAAACTGTTTTTTCGGGATTGAAGGGACGGATGGGGGATATGACGGCATTTTTCTGATGTCGCCCAGTCTCATTTCGCACTCCTGGTGGCTGTGGCTTTTCAAGTCGACCAGGAGCTCGGGCACAATAATGATGATGATGACGGTGAGCCGCGTTGGGTAAATTGGCTGGGGGAGTGTGCTACGGGAGGCTGGTCTCGAGGACAGACAGACAGACAGACAGACAGACGGTAATAGCGACACCGGTGAGAGTGACAGTGGTAGTGCTGGTAGTAGCGGTGGCAGTGGTTAATCTCCCGCTCAGCTCAGCCCAGCCCAGCCATTTGCGGTGATTGCAGACCGGGATATACCCAGGACAAGATACAGTGATTGACCCTCCTGCCCTTCTTCCTCCGTAAGAGATGAAAGAGAGAGAGAAGGAGAAGGTAGGGTAACCTTATTTCCGACGTCAACCGGCCGCCGGAAGGGAAGGAAGGAGGGAACAAGTCACGCGTCACCCTCGTCGTCGTCGTCGGGGAATTAATGGGGTTGAATGAGCAAGTTATAATACGAGGCAGGCTAGCTTGGGCTGGAAGAGGAAACTCGAATATGCCTGCCTGGTCTTCTTTTCGTGAATCTTGGATAGCTGGGGGTGTGTGGGTGGTAACATCGTGGTGGTGGCTAAACACACCCCGGCCTGCCTACCTGGGTTGATTACTCAGAGGGGAGCAGGAAAGATGAAACGTGAAGGGGATGGATGGGAGGTGTGGTGTGGTGGTGCAAGAGAGGGATAAAGGGATTAAGGCATGATGATATAGAGTACGACAGGAGGAGTAGCTGAGGGCGTGCGTGAATGGGTGTGGTACAAACACGCTCTCGGTCTGTTTGGTGTCGTTCTGTGTTCTGTCTGTGCTATCTGTGTTATAGTAGAACCTCCGTATGTGCGAGCTGCGTGTTGCGAGCTCCGAGCCGTACGCATGTCTGTCTGTTCTCAGCGTCATCATGTGCTGCAACTGCACACTGCAACTGCAACTGCACCAGCAACACCCACAAGCAGCTTTCATCTCACCTCACACGAGCCTGTCTGTTCCAGATCAACTCGATATCGCAGCCCAAGTTCCACTCCAGCTTGGTCTTAGCAAAGCATCGAGTTGAGACCGAGCTGGACTGACTGGGACTGTGGCAGTCACGGGGCAGGTCACGTTCTGCCTGTGACGGCGATAACGAGATCCCATTGCTTGGAGTTCTCCATTGCTTGCATCCCAACTCACTCAACTCCCACTCAGCTGGATCCGTGCACACCCCCTCTTTGATCCTTGATGGATGGACCCTTTGACTGTTTTCCCTCCCTCCTACCCTCTCTGACTCCGGACTTGGCTTGGGCTGGTGCTGATCTGACTGACTGACTGACTTGACTGCTCCTGGCACTTAGCTCTTTTCCGTCTGGCTGGCTGATGCTGCTACTCCTCCTACTCCTCCTACTTCTCGGGGTAGCAGCGGTACTCGTGGTACCCGTGCGACGGTACTCGCTGGACGCGTGGTACTTGTGCGACAGGTGTCCGCAACCGTGGGAAGCGTGTCCGACCACAACCCACCGCACGTAAGATGCACAAACTGCACAACTTCACAGTATAATGTCAGTATAATGTCAGTATAATTGTGTAGTAATGTTGACCTGAGACGGGGACTGGTCGATGTACTCTACGTATTGCTGTGAT